TTCTTCTGGGTTTTGGAAGCAGTAGAGGGGAGAGAAAGAGCTGCAGATCCCGGCCGGATTCCGGCGACATTGCGGTCTCCCTTAGCTAGGTAACTTCCTGATCCGAACACGTAAGAGGCGCCTTCGGGTTTTTGCCTCCGGGACTACTTCAAAACGGTGTACCCGGAAGCATGACGACCTACAAAGCGCCTCTTACGTGCCTGTTTGTTCATTTGTTGATGGATTTTTTGGTTGAATGTACTGTCCACTTTAATCTTGAATATACATGCTTAGTTTTAGTTTATGTTGGTGCATTTTGAATGCATTTAGGCTCCATTAGGTCCTGGTTTTGATATTTGATTTTCTCGATTTTTTTTTTTGGCAATTTCTTTCGATTTTTAACTTTCGCCGGAGTGTGGAAATTCCCCCGGAATGTTTAGACCGGGAGAGTTTCCAGAACCGCCGGTCCCTGGAAATCACAAGCAAAACGGGCCAAAAAAACTAAAAGGGGAAAACGGGCTAGCCCTCAAAATCTCCTTTATTTTTAATGGGTTGTTTCCAAAAGGTTAAATGCTTAATTTGGTCCCTCAACTTTATGAAATGCATATTTTTGGTCCCTCAATAATTTTTTGCATTTATTTGATCCCTCAACTATACGAAATGCACTCTGTTAGTCCTTCTATTAATTTGGGCCGTTAACCCTGCTTAGATGGCATTTTTTATATTTTTTTTTATGATGTGGATAGCAAAACTTAAAAAAATGATGATGTACATAAAACTTTTGCCATGTTACATGTTACCCTGGCGAAAACGCGTCAAATCCATCCAAATGGGTCTCACATCATCATTAAGAATTGCTTCTTTACCCATCGGTTACTGTTTTTAGTTTTTCCATAAACGGTGTTCTTTTCACTTTCAAGATTGAAGTTCGACAGAACCCAGCAGATCTGGGTTCGATGTAACCCAGCAAATAGGTTCCATTAAACCCAGCTCGATTCACTGAACTCAATTGTCCAAAAATCCCTCACAACAACTTGTAATTTGGATAATCTCTTGGCAAACAATCATATAACAAAAAAAAAATCAGTTGTCCAAAAATCCCTCACAACAACCTGCAATTTGGATAATCTTCTTGGCAAACAATCATATATAAAAAAAAAAAAGTGGAGCTGGGTTCTGGGTTCCGGGTTCTGTCGAACCCATCAACTGGGTTCAATGACCCGAGGAAGAAGAGGAAGAAAAAAAAAAGAAAAAGAGAAAGGAAGAAGATGAACGGAATTTTTTTTTTATTTTTTTAAAATATAAATAGTAATCATGTGAGTTGGTATGAAAAAAATTCCACATAAACACGTTTTCAATTTGTTTTTGCCATGTTATTAAAAAAATCAAAAAAAATGTCACATGAGCGAGTTAACGATCGAAATTAACAGAAGGACTAATGAAGGACTAATGAAGGACTAATGGAGTGCATTTTGTATAATTGAGGGATCAAAAAAGTGCAAAAAATTATTGAGGGACCAAAAGTGTGCAACTCATTAAAATTGAGGGACCAAATTTAGTATTTAACCTTTCCAAAAAATGCAAAAATGGATATGGGATGGCCCAAGTTCTATTCGGCTTAAAAACGAGAATACTTTAAATAAAAGAGGCTAAACCCATCAGTCAGCTAAACGAATCTAATGATTCACTAGCAAACCTAAAACTTGGGTTTAAGTTGTTAGGGGTTTTACTTTTACTAATTATTTGAAAAAAAAAATCTCCCTTCGCACAAAATTTCCCAAGTTCAAGAAAAAAAAAAAAAAAACACTAAACCCACAATACCAAATCCAACTCCCAATTTTGTTTAACTAAATTTGATTAAATCTAACTAGTTTTTTTTAATAGTAGTGAAATGGTACAATCATAGTATACACCACGACTCTAATTATGTTTTGATTAGGTTAGTTTGGACTAATTAAGACTTGATTAAGTTAATTGAGATTAAGATATTTAATTACCTTTAATTAATTTTAATTAATCATAATTGATTACTTAAATTTTGATTTAATTTAGTTAATTGAACTGGATCAATGCCAGTCATACTCAATGGACAATGGTCAAATGGATTAATGACTTCCATTCCTTACTTTCTAATTTAGTATACGTCTTTTAAAATTTGTGCAAATAAGTCCTCCATTTTCAATTTATTGAAAATGCATCCAAAAGTTTTCTGATCTGTTGAATTTAGTCCCTCTCTTTTATTTCATTTCAATATGACATACTTTTCCAATTCCATTCCATTAAGCCCAGAACTTTCAATTCTCATTTTTATATGCATGGATGTCTGATTTACTTCGCTTAAGGTCATTAACTTCACAAGGCACCACTAGACCTTAGAAAATCTTTAAAATTAAATTTTTTTCAAAAAAAAATTAGTGTTGAGATTTAAATTAAATAAAAATTTTGCGTTTTCTTGCCTTTATCCATGTAGTTTCCTTTATGATTTTGCTTCTTACTATAAATACCAGACTGAGAATTTTTTGATCCAATACTTTATTGATTCAACCTCTATGCCATGTATTTCTTAATCTTAATTGCATATAAGATTGTTATAATAACAAAATTTTTCTTAAAGTACCTAAATAAATGCCAATTAAACTTAAAAAAATCCTCAATAAATACACAATAAACTTAAAAAAATCTTCAATAAATACTCAGTAAGTTTTTTAAAAAATCTATACATATTGAAAGTAACTCAAATCCAACATTAATAAAATTTAATTTCTCATTAATTTTATTCGCACGTACTTGTTATAGGAGTTGATATAATATTTCTTTAATATATTTGTAATTATATAATAATAGGGCTACAATTATATGGGTAAACAAAGAAAAGGAAAGAAGTAAGCGAGAAGAGCTGCCGCCCGCTGGCACATAATTCCATTGTTAACTTTTGTTTCTTTTTTTAATGGTAATATTATAGTGTTAGTCCCTGATTTTTAACACTTCAGTCCTTAAATTCCAGAATTTTGTGATTGGGTCAATTTTAGAATTCTACAGTTTGGTCCTTAATTTCATCAGTTTGTTCATTCTTTTACTTTGTGAAACATAATTATTTAGTTCCAAATTTATGATTTTTAAAAGTTAAGTCCTATTCTACACAAATAATAAAAATAATGTAAATTTAAGTAAAATCATATTAAATCCATTCAAATATTAAGAAAATCAAGGTTTAATTAGCATCATATTATGAACAATAATTCAACTTATCAAGTAGTATAAGAAAAGTTGGTAAATTTTGTATTGAAGTTAAGATTTTTATTAAACTATTAATATTGGATTTCTCTTATTAGAAAAAAAAAACATAGAAAAAGAGAATCAAAAGTAGGATTACGATGGTAATAGTTGAAGACAACTTTTGAAGAAGTACCAGGGGTACTTTGAACATTGAGGCGTAAAGGTAATTGAAAAGAAGTTGTTCTAATTGTCTTAACGTAAAGCATTTCAAATATAGACAATGAAAAGATATATAATGGTAATTGGAGATACAAAAAGTGAATAAGAAAGAATAACATAATTGTTAACTACTTAAATAATTTAGTAATAATTTTTTCTCATTAGAAGCAAAAGGTCTTAAATTTAAGTCGCATAGTAAGAGGGAGCAGTAGGTTAAGGGATTGGAAAGAGTTGTCTTTTATTATGTTACGTAAGATAAAAAGGGGAAAAAAAGGAAGAAGAAAGGATTCGGTTGATAAAAAATATATAGCAAAACATAAGGTAGGTTAAAGAAGCAAATAAATTATTAATATGGAGAGAGAATTAAAGCAAAAATAAGATAAAATTATATATAATGATAAAATATGAAGATTATGCTAAGAAATGAAGCCCAAGAATTGTAATAAAAGGTGATGTAAGCAAGTGAATGTGTACTGAGATAATAATGTTAAGAAGTTGCTTATGCCTTTTATGTTTTGGCATAAAAATTTTCAAATGTATAAAATTATATAATAGATTTTTATAATAATGATAATAATAAAATTTGAGGGGTAAGCTAAGAGTTAAAACCCGAGAAAAATAATGAAATATGGAGTAAGTGATAAAGTAACATACTAAAATACTAATATTAAGAAGCTATGCGTTTTATGTTTTGACATAAAACATTTTTAATATAGAGAAAGGGGAAGAAAAAAAATTTGGGTAAAAAATATAAATAATGATATAATAAGATGCAAGGAATGACTAGGAAGGTAACAAAGATGGATGATAATTGGAGAAAGACAAAACAATTAAATGCTAACATAGAGAGGGAATTACTAAT